GCAAACTGACTGCTGTTAGACAAACATTATTGGTGGTAATAATTCTAGTTTCTCTCATGGAGAAATGGGCGGGGGGGGCATTTTTCTTTGACCTTCTACTTTCATCCTGTTCTGAGAACACAAATATTCATTCTTGGTTGTTTTGTCATGAATCACAAGACTATCCTTCTGACTTGTACAGTCAGATTTATTCTAAGTACCCTTTCTAGGCAGTCACATGTTGCCTGTTCATATTTGAAAATGGGATATTTTTTGGATTACTTTCATCTTGTTGTGGTGGGATTTCCTTAAACCTGCACTTTTTAACAGTGGTGATGCTGTATTATTATTATTATTATTATTATTTTTATGAAAAGCATCACTTGCTAAACCATAATGTGATCAATTTAACTTATCAGCATTTTCCCTCAGAACAAGACTTTGCACAACAGACATGATGATACTCTTGTTGAAATGTAAGGTGCCTGACCAAAGGCCTCATCCGTCAATTAAAAAAACCAACCTTTGTGTAAGAGGCGTCTGAAATACACTGATTGTCATACTCGACGCAGGAATTTTCATGTCACAAATAAACAGCTCTTTGGTTTCACAATGTCGTCGGAAGGAAGCGATGTGGCTATCACAAGAAGTGGTCTGGAATGCTGCAGTAAATTTGGAAGCTTAACAAGAAGGACAATTATAAAAACAGTGGTGTTGACACAGTGCTTGGGTTAACTATTTCTTGAATGTACAAAGCGACGAGGAAGGAGGATGAGTTTGACACAAGACGCTAATTTATCACAAACTGTTTGAAATGCATTTGACTTTTGGATTGTGCAACAGTCACTTTCTCTTCTGTTTTCACTGCGACTTGGTTTCTGACTGAAATCCCATTTGGGGGGAAAAACAGAAGAGAAAATGACTTTTGCACAAATTCCCCAATCTGATTTCTAACTTTTCTTTTAAAAAAAAATGGATTTCCTGCCTATCAGATCGATCTAGCTCATTGGTCACAAAATGCATAACCTGAATCCACATGTACTTTTCTTTTTCCTTGCCCCTCTAGGCACCCGTGTGAGCTCGGGTCACCTGACCTTCATTCCTCAGGCTTAAATTATTAGCTTTTAATTGTATTGACTTTAGGAGGGCTGTACTTTTTGGCAGTGAAAGAGCATTGTAGACTCGTATCAAACAATGCATCCTCTGGGTCCAGTGTGGCTTGCGCTGACCGCACCCTGCGTATAAATATGTTTTGTAGTTTACATTTGAAATCTGCTTTAAACATCAGAAAATGTCCAGTTTCGAAAGCAGAGCAGTTTTCTTGTGTGCCGACTGCTTTTAGTGGTCTCTATAAAACTGCCATGTCACAAGAAGGAGCAGTCGTCAGTTTAATGGGTTCAGTGACCAGGAACTTAAACTGCTGGGTTTATTGGTGGAGGCAGTATTGTGCCTTAACTCGTGGCCTGGCTCTTGTACACAAACAGCCAGCCTCAGTGTGGGATGAGGGATGCCCTCAGTTCCTTGTAGCACCTCCTCTCAGATATCAGGCCATGTCTGATGAGTGGTTCGAACCAGGGCAAAGCATCTTGGGAATTTCTGTTGGGAGTGTTTGTTTGGTGAGGGATGAGCTCTCTGCTCCAGTAACTGCGTTTCAGACCTGCTGAATCAGGAAATGTAAGAATGCGCCTCCCTGAGGACACTGGCAAGACAGAGGGGGGGGGGTTGTATTTTTTCTTTAGAAAATAATTTTGCATGTTTTAATTTCTCTAGAAATGTAACTGTTTAAAAATGATCTGTTCAGGGTTCTGTTTGAACTGGAAAAATGATCCCGGCATGACAGGTTTGACCTTAAACCTTTGTGTTTTTGACACCGTCTAAAACAAATGCTGTTCTGCTTTGAGTCAAATTTCAGCCCCTGAGATATTCTCATGGAGCTCGGGAAGGATTGTTGCAGTGTTTTCCTTTCAGCTAAAACTAACAATGAGCTTTTTGTGTATTTGTTTGCAGATAATTGGGTCATAACAATACAAGAGCCAATATGCTTCAGGAGATTCAGGAGATGGGCTCACATGCCAAGGATATCTATGATTTCCTTCTGTCGGGACTTGGTAGGTTTAGTTTTTTTTTTTTTTCAACACTGAGAAAATACAAACTTGTGTTTGTTTGTCTAAATACATTTCCCCTTTCCCGCTCTAGATCCACGGATCACAGATTATCCTCTGATGCAGAGTCCCATAACCATGACGACAATACTGCTGGGCTACCTGTTCTTTGTACTGTACCTCGGACCTCGCTTAATGGCCAATCGCAAACCTTTCCAGCTCAAGGAACCTATGATAGTTTACAACTTCTTGCTTGTGGCCTTGTCAATATTCATCGTATATGAAGTAAGAATCTGTTATCTAGCATTTAAAATATTAAAAGAATAAAGCTAATGCACATTGTTAGCATTTCATCATTTATTCAAGACTGCTTTCCTCAATGGATATTGTTGGATATATTCATTTGGTTGAACCTGCATCTGTAAGGATCAATGCCCTCAGCAAAGATAAAGTCCTGATAAACTTGTGTTTTTATTTGCAGTTTTTGATGTCTGGGTGGGCCACAACGTATACTTGGAGATGTGATCCAGTTGATACCTCTAACAGTCCTCAAGCACTGCGAGTAAGTCGCCCTAACTCTATAACAATTACTATTATTAAAGACAATGAATATAAAAACTGACTTTCATTCCACTGAGTCACAAACTAAAAAGTCTCTCATTGTTAGATGGTCCAAGTGGCGTGGCTGTTCTGGTTCTCCAAGATTATTGAGCTGATGGACACAGTAAGTTCACATATTCTGAGGCCATGGTTTATAAAATGTGCCTTAATGTTCAGTTTTAGTAAACGTTGTTCTGACCAGAATCCCCTCTGTTAGATCTTCTTTGTGTTGAGGAAAAAGCACGGCCAGATTACCTTCCTACACATCTTCCACCATTCCTTCATGCCCTGGACCTGGTGGTGGGGAATTGCGTATGCTCCAGGTAAGTACATAACCTTAAGTTGTCAATGGTTAATGGAGGAGGGAGGGGGGAGGGGGAGCATTGCAGAAGTGTTATGCAGTTAGCTCATCCTGCATACCAATCTTGAAGATAAGATGGTCTTTTTAAAGCCTTTGAAGAAGCTTTGTGCAGATGACCTGACTATCGATATGAAAATGATTAACCAAGGGAATTCAGTGTGATGTTTGTGGTTATCACTTCAGGTGGAATGGGATCTTTCCATGCCATGGTAAACTCTTCCGTCCACGTTGTTATGTATTTCTACTATGGCCTTTCTGCTGCTGGACCTCGCTTCCAGAAATTTTTGTGGTGGAAGAAATACATGACTGCAATTCAGTTGGTACGTATAGCCTGTACTGACTCAGTGGTGTTACCAGTAGAGCACATTTTTATTGCGTATTTGGCTAATTTCTCATTTTTCTTCTCAATAGATCCAGTTTGTGCTGGTATCTCTCCATGCTACCCAGTATTACTTCATGAGCAGCTGTGATTACCAGTTCCCTGTGATCCTCCACCTCATCTGGATTTATGGTACCTTCTTCTTTGTTCTGTTCTCCAACTTCTGGTTCCAGGCTTACATTAAGGGCAAGCGACTGCCGAAACAGTGTCAGAACAGCACAGCTGTGCACACAAATGGCAAATACTGTGAGAATGGCAACAGTGTGAAAAACGGTACTACCAATGGTGTATCACACGGGGTTACCAATGGCTCAGTCCACCATGAGAATGGCAGCTCTTACATGGGTAAGATGAAGAAGGCCTAGGAAGTCTGGAAGGAAAAGCCCAAGATGTATGGCCCTGTAAACCTGATAAAACGACTACAGATTCCAAATAATTTGTTCCTTTCTTTTTCTGTTTTTAGTTTTCTATGTAAAATGTGGGAGGATGATGTGGTCAGTGACTTCCACAGGTGGGGTCCCAAATTTGGTTGTTTGGTTTGTTAGTTTCTTTGCGTTGGGGAACCATCTATGGAACACAATGTATGAAGAGAAGATGTTTTGACCCATGTTGTCTTCACGGATGTTGCAAACAACCTCCTAGTTCAGTATCACTCTGGTGGCCTTTCACCACACTTGTCTTCACTTCTTATCTGACCCCCATGTCCTCCTGACACACTGTGGACAGATGACTGTACAGTTTCTATCAAACTTGAAGATGCTTTTTGTAAATAGTTTTACAAAAAAAAAAAAGAAACTAATTGTATTGCTATACTTTAGACTTTCTAAAATTTGTTACTTTGTATTTAATTAATATGCAAATAAATTCCATTTTAAATGATCAGCGTTGACTTTTTTTTCCCTCA